AGTCACCACCGCCAACTCTTGGGCTACTCTTTTACCAACGAATAGTGGGAATGACCGTCACATTATAACGCCCCCACGAGCGCCCTAACCACTTGGCCATGCCGGGCCTCTAACGTTCTTCCTTATAAAGATTAGAATACATTGTTTCATCAGTTGGGTATCCTCACTGTTAACTATATTTTCGGCTGTAAATCTGATTAGTCTAAAATCCATATACTAAGCTAAAATTATTATAAAATTATAATAATAAAAAATTAAAACTAGTGAAACGTATATATTAAACATTCTAACAAATACTGTTAACGAAAGTTATATTAAAGAAAAATTAGAGTACACCTTAGGAAATGCACAAACACTAGCTGTTACCTTGAAATATGGTCGTAGATTTAACGTTTGTTTAACAACGTAATATTTGCATAACCACGTATTCGCAAAACTTTCCACAATCCGCCATAAAAATATATTGCGATAAATGAAAACCTATTAAACGGATTTGGTAGTGTAACTTTAGAGAAGTCTGATTTCCAAGATAAACTGCTACAACAGATGTTACTGTTTAGATGTAGATACCAGTAGCACGACAGTACCGATTGTAGAGTCAACGACAAATGTTTGTGAAAATACAAAATAGTAAGTAATAAGAACTAAAATGAATATCTGAATCATACAATGGAAAAACTAGAATACTGGTAGTCTAATTAGAATATAACAATAAAGAAAACAATATGTTAAACATACTATGAGGTATATTTAATACAACTAATCTGATTTAAACTAACCAATGTCTCTCTGTAACACACACAGAATGAACAACAGAAAGTGATAAATAAAGTTAAATCTTCTATAACAGCGAAAAATAAACGATATCAGATTCGACAATAGTAAATGTGTCATTGTGAAATAAGCCATGACACTGTTTCTTTAGAATTTTGCGCAAAGCTACTCGAGGGCTATCTGCGCTAGCCGTCCCTAACTTAAAAGTGATAGACTAGAGAGAAGGCAGTTAGTCAACAGTCCTCTGTCAACTCATGGACTACTGAAAGGGCAAACATATTCGATGACGGGACTCGAACCCACAACATACAGATTGCGAGTCGAGCGCTTGACCACCAGATTACGCCAAGCTTGATGATATTAAAATGGAATATAAATTATTAAAAATCGCACATAAAAATACATATTTATCTCTGTTATTGTAGCACCTTTTATTTCTTACATGAAATCGTGAAATAGTTTTATGAGCTTTAATATGTATTAGAAATTCTAGCGATAATTTCCAGTCATGCCAGTTGTAAATGTTTTAGACATTACATTATCTGTAATAATTACATTAATAACAATATCTGCCCTAATTATATATCTGGCGAACATTACGAAATCAGCTCTGCCGAATTTCCACCATGATTAGATAATGTGGGTGATTGCTACAAGACATCAAAACCCCATTTAACTATCATAAATCACTCGATAGCTTGGAAAGTCACAACATTCTTTCATACTACAAAATCCTAGCTTCCATACAATCGTGCAAATTATCGATGCTTCAGTCATTACATCGAGTAACATTAGTTGTACCAACTGTATGATAATCAATCAATTGTCCAAAAATATCCTGTAGACATATATATTAATGAAGTTCTGCTCGATGGCTGAAAAGTAAAAGTCTTTATGTCCTTTCAGACAAATAATTTTGCGATCAATTAACTATCTTAACTTTATAATAAAGTGGTTATCACACGATGTAGTATATACATATTATCGTGAAACACTACTTAATAAGCACGTAAAGCAACTTCTTCATTAATTTTTATTTCAAGTGGCCATCCTAACTTTTGGTCAAGTAGTTAATTCCAGTCATAACAACAGGGAGGCCAATGCTATGCATCTAGTGTTCCAAGCAGTTAACTTGTCAGATGTGCATCAACTGTCTCTTTGTCTTGGAAAGTCATTGTTATCTTAACCAAACAACCATCTGACCAAACAAACACATTGGAATATTTAATCAGCAATTCCTTAAGTTTCTGTCACCATCTTTAATCCAGATTTCTTACACAGTTATTAACTAATGACTCAAAATATTCCGGCAGCTGTGCATTCACTTTCAGATGTGGCACAAAAGAAGAAATCCTAGTGATACCATTAGATCCAGTTATTTCAATTTAATTATTAATCATTACCCAAATTCTAAGTTGTAAATACCTCATATAAAATTGATAATAATTACACTTTACCAACTTAATCTAGTTCACTCCATAATAGTTGTTGTTCACACTTTTGTAAGCAATATTCTTAATTTTGTAATTTGTTTGTTAGCTAGAGAGAGCTGTGAGTCGTAATGATAACGTTAAGATAGGCGTAGAACTCGAGAAAATTCTAAAATATTTGACGTCAGAGTTTGCTAATGAATTTGGGGGTAGATTATATATATATGGAGTTCAGCGAAGCATAAAAATATAGATAACATATTGTTGAAGGGATAGTTAAGAAGAGAAGTTTTCTCTAACCAATAGAGTAAATCAATCGGTGTGTTTTCATTGTAGCCATGAAGTGTTATAAGTAAGTTTATTCTTTACATTAATGTAATGCATTTAGCATCATTTGTAAACGTAGGTTCACAACAAGTTACAATAATGTATAAGTATTCAAGCTTGTCAAAAAGTTTAAAGAAAAATAAGCTAAACTGTTATTGTTTAAGTGAACTGGATCTTGAATAATTTTCACCAGACAATCTAACAGCAAAAGACAACTTTACAATAATACAATATGATGATGTATATAGCATCTCAAACACTACAGTGTCTGTCATATTCCAGCCAGCCTGATGATCCCTGGTAATGAACGAGAGGCCTCGTCCGCATTGGATATAGCATCACCATAGAATCATTATATTGATGACCATTCCAGCTGGAAGCTAAAAAGCCGAGTGTCCATAACTGCAAAAACAGCACTGAGACTACTTACAACTGTCCAAGTGAGTACAGTCTGCTTTCTAAACAAGAAACACTACACTGCATGTGTTGTTTCCATCACCACAGGAAATAGCAATAACGCGCTGGACTTAGTCCACAGTGAACCACTTGTTTCTTGGTGTGAATGTGGCGAAGCCGTATGGGAAGCACTGACAGACCTCTAACTGAAATATTATTCCAAGTAAACAGAAGCTGTCTTCAACTACTCATTTATTGCTGTTTGGGATAGAGAAAAGCCAGCCTTGAGAATAAATTTTAATTTTCCGTGTTTACTTCGATTGAATTCATGTCATGTACCACTTTTCGTTGCTTATCTTAAAATAAACTATGTTTATTTCAAAGCGTATTAATTGCCTTCAGTCTCTACTGTTCTTGATCGAATTTGATTTAATCAAACTCTGCTCACAATTTCTTAGAAAAACCAATTTTCGATCTTAATACTTACCTATCGGATTATCTGAGAATACAACAGAGGCAAATTGGATGTTTGCCATTATATGTACTTCTTAGAAGAAGGAACTTCCTACATGGTTAGGCTCACGGTTTCTGCGACATTTTGTATTAAATATTTAGTTATTTTTCGCTTCTATGTGATCACTTTATTACAAAACTTTGTATATTATATGCATACTTCAATTTTGATTATACATACAAAATAAAATCTTATTAAAAGTTTGTTTGATTTTTCAGAAGTTTAGCTACTGTTAAGCACAAAGATACACAATGGGTTATTTTATGCTTTGCCTACTACGGGTATCGGTACTCGATTTATAGCTTCGTAAGCATTCAGACTTACCGCTGAACCACTAGGAAGCATTTTAAAAAACACCAACATTCAAGATTAGTGTAGAAAAAGCGCATAAACTGTTAGATTAATAAATAGATATATAGACAGACGGACAGATTATCTAAATGTAAATAGTATGTGTAAATATACCTTCATCACATCATCGAATATTGGAGACAATTTTTTTTTTTTACTTTAGTTTTTCTTTTTCCTGTCTTGGTCCTATCAGGAAGAAGATACAGCTTAACGTAGCTAGAGACAAAAGGAAAAATAAAAATAATTATAAGTAGCTCTTACAATGTCTAGACTTTGTAATCATTTAAATTATCATATAATATTTCACACTGTTGTTTATAATGTTTTTCAACCACTCATTTCACTATATACCCGCTAATTCAATTACTAAGTAAAATATATGTTAAAAATCATTTTGCATTATTTATGTCTATAACGATAGTATACAAAAACTGTAGAAAACAAAAAAACATTTTACTATTATAGTGAGCTGTAAGCCATCCGCAGTATAAAACAAGATAACGAGCTCCAAGTCATCCCCAGTATAAAACAAAATAGCGAGCTCCAAGTCATCCCCAGAATAAGACAAGATAACGAGCTCTAAGTTATCCCCAGAATAAGACAAGATAACGAGCTCCAAGTCATCCCCAGTATAAAACAAAAATAGTGAGCTCTAAGGTATCCCCAGAATAAGACAAGATAACGAGCTCCAAGTCATCCCCAGTATAAAACAAAAATAGCGAGCTCCAAGTCATCCCCAGTATAAAACAAAAATAGTGAGCTCTAAGGTATCCCCAGAATAAGACAAGATAACGAGCTCCAAGTCATCCCCAGTATAAAACAAAAATAGTGAGCTCTAGGTTTTCCCCAGTATAAGACAAGATAACGAGCTCTAAGTTATCCCAGAATAAGACAAGATAACGAGCTCCAAGTCATCCCCAGTATAAAACAAAAATAGTGAGCTCTAGGTTTTCCCCAGTATAAGACAAGATAACGAGCTCCAAGTCATCCCCAGTATAAAACAAAAATAGTGAGCTCTAAGTTATCCCCAGAATAAGACAAGATAACGAGCTCCAAGTCATCCCCAGTATAAAACAAAAATAGTGAGCTCTAAGTTCCCCAGTATAAGACAAGATAACAAGCTCCAAGTCATCCCCAGTATAAAACAAAAATGGTGAGCTCTAAGTTTTCCCCAGTATAAAACAAGATAACGAGCTTTAAGTCATCATCATTGTAAAACAAATTAGAGTTCTAAGCCATTCTCAATAAAAACAACAACAAAGTATTATAATATAAAACAGCTGTGAGACATCCTCAATATGAAACATAGTAGAGTGTTATAAGTCATCCTGAGTATGAAACAAAGAAGCGAACTCTAAGCTATCCTCAATATAATATAAAATAGAATCTGTAAGCCATCTTCAATATAAAACAAAGTAGCAGGCTGTAAGATATCTTCAGTTTCAAACAAAGTAACAGGTAATAAATTATCTTCAATATAAAATAAAGAAGCGAGCTGTAATTTATCCTTAGTATGAAACAGAGTAGAGAGCTGTAAATCATTCTTATTATTAAACAAAGTAGCAAGTTGTAATTCATCTTCGATGTAAAACAGACTAGCAAGTTATAAGTCATCCCCAGTATTAAAAAGTGGCAGATGGTAAATCATAAGTCACGCGTAATAAAAAATAAATTAGAGCTGTAAATCATCCTCAGTATGAACGACAGTAGAGAGTTCTAAGTCATTCTCAATGTAAAACAAGGCAGAGAGCTGTAACACATTTTCAGTACGAAACAAAGTAGCAAGTGATAAATCAATTTTGGTATCAAACATAGTAGCGAGCAATACGTCGTCCTCGATAAAAAACAAAGTAGCAGGGTTTAAGTCATCCTTAGTATCTAACAAAGCAGTGACCTATAAGTAACTCTCAATGTAAAAGAAGGTAGCAAGTTGTAGCTAATCCTCAGTATCAAATAAAATAATAAGATGTAAAAATCTCAGTATCAAATAAAGTATCGAGCTGTAAACCATTTTCACTATATAACAACGGAGCGAGCTGTAACCCATTCTCAATATATAACAACGAAGTGAGCTTTAACCCATTCTCAATATATAACAACGAAGCGAGCTGTAAACCATTCTCAATATATAACAACGAAGCGAGCTGTAAACCATTCTCAATACATAACAACGAAGCGAGCTGTAAACCATTCTCAATATATAACAACGAAGCGAGTTGTAACCCATTCTCAATATATAACAACGAAGTGAGTTGTAACCCATTCTCAATATATAACAACGAAGTGAGCTGTAACCCATTCTCAATATATAACAACGAAGCGAGGTGTAACCCATTCTTAATATATAACAACGAAGTGAGCTGTAACCCATTCTCAATATATAACAACGAAGCGAGCTGTAAACCATTATATGTAAAAAACATAACAACGAGCTGTATCCTATTATCCTACGATAGTAGGATACACGTTAGATATACAAGACTCACTATAATACACAGTGGTGGGATATAAGTCATCCTTAGTATAAACAAAGTAAACTTTAGAATAAAAACAAAATAGCGAGCAATTATCAGTACGAAGTAAGTAGTGAGTGGGATGTATGTCATTCTTAATATTAAACAAAGTATCAAGCTGAAAGCCATCCTCAGTATTAAATAAAGTAAAAAACTGTATGAAGATAGATTTGTAAGTCAGTCTCAGAATAGAATAAAATAATTAACTGTAGATCATTCTCAGTGTAAAACAAAGTAGAAAGGTGTAAGTCATCTTCAATGTAAAAGTAGAGCTGTAAGTCATACACAGTTTTAAATCGTCCTTAGTATAAAACGAAGTAGAAAGGTGTAAGTGGACGATTTAAAACTGTGTATGACTTACAGCTCTACTTTTACATTGAAGATGTTAGTATAAAACGATGTAGAAAGGTGTAAGTCATCTTCAATGTAAAAGTAGAGCTGTAAGTCATACACAGTTTGAAATCGTCCTTAGTATAAAACGAAGTAGAGAGTTGTAAGTCATATTAATCACTACTGATGATACTAAAACATAGTTCTAAGTAATACTATATCTCAAAGAAACTTGCGAATCTTAATAAGGAAAAGAAGGTTGGGGATTCCACACATAGCAGTGAACCATTAGAATGTATGTTGAGCTACTTGAAAAAGTAAAGAGATTATGCCGTCTATGACCTTGCTATAGAATCTGAAGTTATGTTAGGATCATTGGTTTACCGTGAATGTGCAAACTTAGAAACTACGTTGAGTTGGATAGGTGAGTCGTAAAGTCATGTCAGTACCGACCTTAATTTCGAATAAATTGTTTTTAGATCACTGATTTAACTTGCCTGTTTAGCACCAGAACATTCATTATTCATTGTTTAATTATTGACAGGTACTTCGAATTCGTTATACATCTTTTGCATAACATGTTGTATTTGACTGAAAGAGACAAAGTAAGAAGTCAACCTTGGTTTTTAAATTGGAAGTGTTTTGCGACTAAAATTTTATTTTAATTTCATCAATTGTTCTTCTTTGGGTTCAGTTCAGTTTTGATAATTGAATCTACAGTAATTTTGATATCACTGGCCTGTGTATCACGTGAACATTGTAATAACTTTTATTAATTAAAAAGAGAATCACGTATGTTTTAATCATGGTAATTAATGTTCCCCAATCTAGTTTTCTACCTTCTTGATATGATACTGTGTTTGGGAACAAATAACAGTGGCCTTATTCTTTGAACATAAAGTAGTATTGCAAATTCTTGTTTTGGTTATTTACAATACTATCGTTATTTTGTACTTAACGACTCAAACATATCGACACGTTTCACATTGAAATTACCAGTAGTTTATCAGTTAATATTTTGGTTTATTGCTAATAGCGAGAGCACTAATTCGTGTTTGAATGACAAAATAAACGATATCAGATTTGTCCTTGAGATCCACATTAGTTTAACTTAATGTTTTAGTTTTGCCTGCGTATCTTATATTATGAACTATGTTGTGTTTGAAAGATGAGACAAAGACCGACGTTAGACATGTACATTCGGTCTATATTGATTTTCTGTTAATGTTTTGCTTTGCCCGTATACGTACTATAAAATACTTTTTGTGTAAAAGATGAAACGAAGAGTAACGTTAGACAAATTCAATGGGTCTATATTAATATTCCAATTAATGTTTTAGTTTTACATGTTGTTAGATATACACGACTGCTCATTATAAGTTTAATCGAGAGTGTTATTTAATTTATATTGTGCGAGCGTTATAGTAAGTTATTTTTATATGGCAAGTTTGCTTACGTAACTGTTTACGAATTATTTGTTGTGTAGTTCAATTGTTGTGAACTGACGTCATGTTACTCGAACCTTCTGAATTTTTCTCGTTGCTTTAATCGAGTATTGTTGCATCATATATCTAGTAGTTTATAGAAGGTTCTAGACTGCTGTCGAGAGTATATGTGTGTGTGTGTGTACGAAAAAAAAAAGAGAAAGATATAGACTGGGTGATCGTGAGTTTAGCCATAAAGTGTGTATAGTGGCAACTTTTAAAGTGTAATAATCGCAAATTGTATTGTAATAACAGAATAGAGAAGAATAATTCGTCTTATCAACTGAGTTCTAAAGTAATTGAACCAGTCTGTGTGGACTTTTGACGAAAAAGAGAATTATTTAAAGCTCTGGATTCAACTGTGGTGATTAACTGTGTAATGAACATTTGTATATACATTTGACTTGTTTTAATATATTATTTTAAAACAAGTGGATTGTTTGTTTGTCCTTGAAATTTATCGCCAACAAGTCAAAGACACCTACTGTAAAGAATCGCAGCCCTATAAACCTAACACCTGTGCATCTTGTATACACTATGTTGTGTTTGATTGAGGAGACGAGAAGTGGCGTTAGACTTGTTCACTAGGTTTACATGAATGTCCAGTTAATGTTTAAATTTTGCCTATGTACCTACTATAAACTATTTGGTGTTTGAAAAAATTAGACAAAGAATGACGTTCGACTTGTACGTAATGGCTACTTTAATTTAAAATTAATGTTTTAGATTCTCTGACTACTTACTCTAAACTATATTGTCTTTGAATGATGAGACGAAGAATGACGTTAGACTAGTTCAGTAGGTCAACTTTAATTTTCAGTTAATGTTTTATTTTTGACTTTGCATCTTGTATAAGCTATGTCGAGTTTGATAGATGAGAAGAAGATTG